AACCGGGCCCAGTGCCCAAGGCTGATATTACCAATAATAAGATTGAGGCCGGGGTCCTCACAGTCTGCCCGGAGTGATCGAACCGAAACTGCTGAGAACTGGGCTCAGCGTCCCTCAAATGGTTATATTGATGACTATGATGATACTGATGATACCATAGATAATGATGCTAATGAGAATGATAATCAAATATATGAAAAAATATATAAGATTATGCTATATCAGCTATTCTGGCCTCCTAATCCCAGTACAACTCCTAGCCCTCCCTGTACCAGGACACTGTACCTCAGAGACAAAACCAACCTAACCAACATCAACCATAGTTGATCTCTTCTCACCTCCTTGCAGCCCCCCCCGGTTCACCATTGGAATGCCTTCCACCCTCAGCAAACCCCAGATCTCTCTACAAGGCCTCACACTCCTGCCATTTACAGGTTACAGGGCAACGCCCCAGCTCCGGTCAGCGTCGTTCTGGCATCGGCAAACCAAGGGCACAGAACAGAGCAACTCAGAAGATATCAGTCCAGGTTCAACCATCTCTGAAGTCCTATATTCCGATTGTGGAAGAATACTAGATGCAGCCAAAATTTCAGAACACCAAAAAACTTAATATAACAATAATCAGATGATGATACTAATGATGTGATGATGATGATGATGATGATGATGATGAATATGATGATAATGAATATGATGATAATGAATATGATGATTAGTATATAGAAGTTATAACAACATTTCTGGTCTCCTAATCTCCGAACCCTCCCAGCCCTCCCTGAACCAGGACATTACATCTCAGAGACAATACCCTCCTTCTTTTTTTTTTTTTTTTTTTAACAACCCGAGTAAATGCTAGGGGTGCTGATAGAAGCAGACACCACTAGCATGCTCGAGGAGGCTCCATCTATTGGTGGGGAGCGGCACCTGCTGGAAATCGGGTCCAGCGTCCCTCAACAATTATAACCAGGTGTTCCATCTTCCACCCGAAATCATGTCAATATGCTACGTGTGAATCCACAAAATGCGTGCGTAATCAACCGAAGCGACACAGTAGCACACTCTATCTGAGGAGCACCATTGATTGCCCTCAAGCGAGGAGATTAACTGCTCATCATAGTTAAAACAGAATTCTTGTCCCGAAACCCTCATCGTCCGCATTCACAGCACAGTGAAAGGGGGAGACAATCAGAGCAGGAGGTTATATGAACTTTGCTATGGCCAGTTCCGAAATCATGTCATCCCTCACAAGTTTATCCGGACGTTTCCATACCCCCCACGATCCTCATGATTGGTGGTTAACGCCACAAAAAGGAGGGACCATTCCATTCTAACAAGAAATCACCTCCCAACTTCGAAGCCCTCATCAAGATCTTACACAGCATGAGAGGGGAAGGACATTCGAAGAAGGGATGTACAGTTTTACCCTGTTGAAATTGTCTATCACGTCAGTGCGGGAAATCAGAGGCACAACTTACCATATAGAAATTGTCTATTACCTCAGTGCGGGAGAACAGAGGACTGATAATGAAAACAACACCTCAAATTCCATATTGAAATTACCCATCTCACGCGGCAGAAGAAAAAGCCCCACGGTCGTACCTTACCTGCCACGTGGCCAATCCCAAGTTCCACTAAGCGATTCAAGTCACGCAGCTCGCCCGATCGGATGAATAAAACGTAAATCAACCTCCGCCCATCGCATCTAATCAGCTACATGAGAAAACCTATTATTGTAAGAAGCCGCAAAGGGGTCTAAATCGCGAATATTATTCAAAAAGAGGAACGATAAAAGCATGCTCCCACTATCATGCATCCCCTGCGGCACCGCTCCAGTCGTTCACCACCCTTTCTCTTTCGCATCCCTGACCTCCGTAAGGACAGTGCCCCACCCTCCTACCCTCCCCCCCGACCCCACCCGGATCCCATGAAAGGCGCGGCATGTTGTTCCGTACAATCGATGAGCCCCGAATCAACGTAAACATGCCGAAAGACGACCCCCCCCCAACAAGCTCGCTTTTCCCATATATGGCAACGGTCATGCCCTCCTAACCAATGTCTACCATAGCTGACCTGTTCTCGCCACCTACACTATCCCTGGCCCCATAGGTTGTCAAGGCAGCCCCCCCGGTTCACCACTGGATTGCCTTCCTCCCTCGGCAAATCCCCAGATCTCTCTACAAGGCCTCACACTCCTGCTAATTGCAGGTTACAGGGCAACGCCCCAGCTCCGACCAGCGTCGTTCTGGCATCGCCAAACCAGGGGCAAAGACAAAGCAACTCTGTAGATATCGGTCCAAATTCGACCATCTCTAAAATCCTATATCCTGATTAAGGAAGGAGGCCAGATACAGCCGAGAATTACAGCACACCAGAAAGCATAATATAACATAGATGATGATGAGGATGATGATGATTTTGATGATGAGATGATTCATAAAAAATCCCCTCTCTCCCTTCCTTCCTCCATTCTCTCCATTACCCTATCTATCCCTTTACCCTAATCTGCCCACGTTGGGATTTGATTCCCAGCCCCAGAAAAAAGTATTCTTCACAATCTGCCCGTACCCCCTCCAGGATTTCACCACCCGCCTAATGAAACCCCTGCGGGGCTGGGCTCTCCCCCTCCCCCTCACCAAAATGTCATTCGCTTGGATTTTGTTGATGACGAAGGACCTGTTGATGCGAAAGGCGAACGATGCCTTGTATAGCAAACTCTACTGATAACAACCAATAATGATGATATTAATCATCATCATAATGATGATGATAATGATGTTGATGATGTCGATAATGATGATGATGATGATGATGATGATGATGCTAATGCTGCTGATGATGATGATGCTGATGATGGTGAAGACACACCAATGATGATGCTCATAATGATGATGATGATGATGATGATGATGATGATGATGATGATGATGATGATGTCGGTAATGCTGATGATGATGAAGATGATGATGATGATGATGATGATGTCAGTAATGTTGATGATGATGAAGATGATGATGATGATGATGATGATGATGATGATGATGAAGATGATGATGATGATGATGATGATGATAGTCATGATGATGATGATGATGATGATGATGATGATGATGA